AAAGTGTTAATAAATATTTTTATGGTTTGTAAAATTCTATCTATCAATTATTATATCTTAAAACAAATTTTACCTTCTACAAAACAGAGCTATGATTATACCAGGATCATTTCAAACTGCTAAAATAGTTTCCTCAACTGTAAGCCAATGTGGATGAGACATTCTTAAAGCACACTGGATAAAATCGTAACACCTACTAAGCTTCCATGTCAACAGACCCGCCTCCATGACATCTGAACAAACTATCTGCCCATGAACACCATGTGATCTGCTTCATTTAAACAAAGCACTATGTAAATATGTTTTAATAGGGTAGAGAAATTACTGTCATTCCTTTTAAGAAAGTTTACAAGACAGCCATGTTTTCCATGCTCGCTGTTAGTGTGAACAGGCTCTCTCTCTCCATTAAGGAAGCAGCTGGATAGCTTCTTGTCAACTGTGTTTACAGTGAGTTTGTGTTATAGAAACAGATGGAAAATTCCAAAAGGTTTGCTGACGTGCTGAGGGGCTTTCGTCAGTATTAACATTACATAACCATTATCATCTTAATCCTGGTTAAAGTCATGAGAATCATCATCGCCACCTTTACCTTTCTGATCATCTACAGCAGAGAAACTACTGAAACTAAACAGTCTGAGATATAACGTCTTTAATAAACCGTAAACTGTTGTATTTACATTATTCTGATATTCGCTTTTTTTGCATCACACGTCCATAAACAAAGACACACGCTGATGTTGTTGTTGTTGTTGTTGCTGTGGTTATGAGCTGATAGATAGTGCTGGCCTGATCCATTTCCTGTCTGATGCCACAGGAAGACACTGCAGCCAAAAGTTCACCACACACACACACACACACACACACACACACTGGTTCAAGAGCCTTAATAACATCTCTAGGAAACAGATACACAAGGCAAAATAACAAATAAATACAGTCAATGATATAGCATGTTGTCTATGATATGAAGTCAGGAAACAATGAAGTGTCAGGAAAGGAATGGAAACCACTCTAAACACCGAATAACACCACTACAGGACTACATGTTCTATCAACAGGTGAGAAAACTGAACATACCACAACACTATTAGCCCTGAATGCAACTCTATAGCGTATTTTTTTCCGTTAAATATTACAATATAACTGCCTGAAGTACGTTACTATTCGAAATTCTAGTATGCCATAAAATATCAATGGAAATATTACTGCTGAGATATAAATACGGTGACCAGATCAAAACAAAAGTGTTTGTGTGGAACAATGTGGGACACGTTATAGATAATAAACATTTCTATTCGGGCCCTTAGCTCGTAACATCTCTGCCCTCTGATTGATTCAGTTGCACAAAACAGACTTATTTAAGTTACAGGTTAGACCTTTAGCACATGAAGGGACATTATTTTAGCACTATATTTTATCTGAATGCAACTTTCCCAACTCCCATGGTAAGTAAATGCAGTGAGCATAAAAGGAAGTTTCACAGTCCGATAAAACTCTAGTCTAGAAGATTCGCCAGATTAAATTATTTATCCCCATTCACGGAGCCAACGGAGGGCTAAACTGGAAGTTAGCCGGCTTGGCAAGAAGAAGTCTTTAGTACGTATTTATCTGGGTAATTTCTTTGGAGTGGGAAATGGCTTTTTTGGCTTCATGCGCCACTGAGCAGCTTTCAGAAGGAACAGAGCGCCGCCTCTATCGCTGGGGAAACAGAAAGTGCTCTGTCTGTTAAAACAATCTGCCTGCTTACACCTCAAATGCTTAATTAACACATGATGGTGTTCATGTATGTATGATACATACAAGTGTAAAAACTACACATTGTTGTTTCACAGGAAGTTTTGTCCTGCTACTATTTCTTGCCTGGACACAGTAACCAGGAGCCTCTGCTTGCTCTACTAATTCATCTGCTAACCTCAAAGTGACATGAAGACTCCAGGAAGTGTCTAATTGCTGGTCATCAGAAATGGTTACAACACAAAACTCCCTGCAAAAACACACAACTTGCTATTTTATTTTACAGTTTTGTACTTTGGACATTGCTAGGCAAGCTAATTTCCCCCTGCTTCCAGTCTTAGCTAAGCTAACTGACTTTAGCTCCATACTCCAAAAGAACATATAAATGTGGTATCAATCTTCTTATCTTGTTCTTGGCAATAAAGTGATATATAGTATATTTCCCAAATGTTTAAGTTGAGATCAATGGGAACTTTTGTGTTATGGAAATTGCAACTGCAGGGCTTAAGAAATGTCGAAAATGTATGTTTTTTTAAAAGACGGATAAGTATAAAGTTCAAGATCAGATGGTCAGGGGGCAAAAT